AAATAATTACAACATACTTACACATTGCACACTAAGAAAGAGAATAATGTCAGAGGTGACATTTAAGTCAAAAATGGAAAGATGCAAAGGATGCCAAGAACAGGGAGGTTGCATCAACAGATGAATGAACAAACAAAATGTTGTCCATACACACAATAAAACCGTGGTCCCCAACCTTTTCGGCACCAGGGACTCATTTCGTAGAAGACAGCTTTTCCACTGACCAGGAAGGGTCGGGGAGACAGGAGGTGGAGTTCAGGCGGTAAGGAAGGCGAAGAGCAAGGCTTCACTTGCCCGCTGCTGCGCGGCCAGGTTCCTAACAGGCTACAGGGCGACACTGGTCTGTGGCCCGGGGGTGGGGGACCCCAGCAATAGGACATTACTCAGCCTTAAAAAGGAATGAAGTTCTGATTCATGCTACATCATGGACGAATCTTGAAAACATAATGTTAAGTCAAATAAGCCAGACATAAAAAGACAAATACTGTATGGATCCACATATATAAGGTACCCAAAATACAAATTCAGAGAGACAAGAAGTGGAATAGAAGTCACCAGGGGCTAAAGGGAGACAAAAATTGTAAGTTCTCATTTAACAAGTACACAGTGTCTGTTTAGGGTGATGAAAACATTCTGAAAGTGCATACTGGTCGTGGTTGCACAACACTGTGAATGTGCTTAATGCCACTGAATTGTACATTTATAAATAATGAAAGTTTTATATTATGTGCATTTTACCATAATAAAAAGAAATGTTTAAGTGGGTTGGTAAGCATTTCAAGTAGAGGGAAAAGCGTGTGCAAAGGCCCTGGAGCTAGGAAGAGCTTGACGTGTCGGTTGGGTGTAATGGGAGACCTTCAGGGAAGCCAAAAAGGCCAAACCCCTGCTGGCTTCCAATGCTGTTGTTATGAGCCCTTTCAATGATTTTAGAAGGGTTTTAAGCAAGGAGAGAGGATAATCCAATTTATGTTTCAAGAGGTTCATTCCTGCTGCTGTGCGGGGGAAGGGACTGGGGGAGGCAAACATTGAAGTGGATTCTGAGAGAGACTGCTCAGTACCAGGCACACTGCAGATAGGAACTCCCACCTCAAAAGGAAGATAAGGCCCCGTAAGGCAGGGGAGCATGTCTGGATGGTTAAGCTTCCTAGAATCCTCCCACCCATGTGCCCGCACTTCAACCACTCCTCCTCACTGGACCCTTACACAGGAGGCTAACGCCCCTCTTCCAGGCAACCACCCCATGTCCCCATTGGAACTCTCTTAGTCTTTGCCCCGTCTTATCCCGTAAACGTAGGTGCTCGCCCTTCTGTAATAGCGGTGTAGCTGCCTTTTATCTCCTCCCAGACGCCAGACTTTTCTTAGTCACAGGATCTGTCATACACAACATGAGACTAGGACCCCCGATTTGGTGTTGATGATCGATAACACAGTTCAAGTGATTCCCTCACCTTGCTCCTGGCTTGGCTGAATTTTTAAAAACTTACAACTTGCATCTCTTCTGAAAACTTAAAAAAAAAAAAAAGCAACAATAACAAAATAATAAGACATGCAAAGTAGAGATACTATCTTTTCCAGAGGGTTGATGGAAATGGGTGACTGACATTTCCGTAAATCCCTACCTACGTCAGAAGAGGTGACTACAGGGGCCTTTCATCCCCACTTCCAGCTCTGAGGCCCGCGTAGATGCCAGACCAAGTCACAGGCTCCCTGCCAAGGCAGCAGAGCCACCGAGGACACAGTAAGTAGAAGAACACGAACAACAGGTCCACCAACTGTACCTTCTCTGATGAGGAAGTCCGCTCTCAGACACACACGCTGCCATCTGTACCTCACAGCCGCTCCCTTCACAAGTACCTGCTCCTCCGCAGCATCCAAGTTCACAGTTTGCTTGTGTTCTTAGTGGAATTCCCAATTCCTGTGGCTTTATAAGTCTGAGCTAAAAATACAGTGCTGGCTGGCACCCAGCCCAGATTCTGGAGGCCCAAAGAAGACTGAAGGATAAATAAGAAGGGGTGTGCTTTTGAGAGGAGCAGGCACAGCGCTGAGGAGCAGTGGCCATGTGGGGACATGGGAGAGGCAGAGGAAGGTGTCAGCAGGCAGAGAGCAGTTATTAGAGGAGGGGAAAAAGAAGCGAAGATCTTCTGCATAACAGTTCTCTGGGGGATACAACAAGCGCTCTCTCACCTTCTCCATTCTCAGTCCAATAATCCAGATGGAAATCCAATTTTCAAAGTAATACAAACTGTCTAATATGGGGTTTCCTATGTAAGTCCGTAGGGAGTTCTTTGATATGCATTATGACCCATTTTAATCTAAGTCGTGAATTTTAATTGAGCCACTGAAAGATAATATTAGAACTAAAATATACTTTTAGAATTTCTTAACCCTCAGGATAATAATTAACTATTAAAATGTGTTTAGAGCCTGAAATCATAAATCAGAATAGCAAAAGGATTAACTCAGCCAAGCACATCACTGAGGTTTCTTAGTTATGCAATCAACTCAATGAAAACCGAGGTTTTCTTCCTTTTTTCAAAAATGGAAACAGCTTTGTTATATATTAAAAACTCCTTTGATATAGAAAGTATATACAATAAAAAAATCATCCAGGACCCCCACCCCAGTAAAATTTACCACTGTTACCACTTGATGCACAGCGTTCTATACTTTTTCATAAGCCTATATCAACTATTTCAAAAGTAAGAAGATATTATTCATAGTTTGCAACTTAGCAATATACTATTAATACTTATCTATGTTGGTAAATATTCTTTTTCAACATAACTTTATTGACTCTATAATATTCCATTTTATGTAGATGCCATAATTTATTTCGCCAATCTTCCATTGACAGACATTTGGGATTGTTTCCAACATTTCACCATTATAAACAATTATAAACAAATATAACTTCAGAAAAATTAAAAGTGTGAGTGCTTTATACTTCTCTATACAAGTAAATTTGAAAATCTGGATGGAGTAAATGATTTTTAAGAATATGTAAATTATCAAAACGGATATCAGAAAGGATAAAAAACTTAAATAGCCCATTAAATATAGAATTTTTAAATTAAAAAAAGTTTCAGCTACTTCTCCAAAAGTGCCATGTTGAAGTAGTTTTCCAGGTGAAATCTCTCAAATCTTTTAAAATTATACATATATTATTCCAGAAAAAATTTTAAAAAGATATTCTTTCACATTCTCTTTTTAAATTCTGAATAATATTGATACCAAACCCATAAAGATGATAAAGAATAGAAAACAGACCAGTCTCACTTACGAATATCAATGTTAAGAATTCTAAGTTAAATTTAACAAATATAATCTACATTAAAAAAGTAACACACAGAAAACCCCAGAAGAATCCATTCCAGCAGTTAGTATTGATTATTCAAGAAATCTAATATTAACCCCCCACATATGACTGGTTAAAAGGAAAAAAAAATATGATCACCTTTGTACATGCCTAGAAGACATGTAAAAAACAACATTTCTGATTTTTAAAAATCCTACTAAAATGGGAACAAATGAATGCTTCCTTAAGCTTATGTATATATAGCCAAAAACTAGTATATATGGTAATAAATGAAGAGAGAGGAAGCCAAAAGTAGAAAACAACCCAGATGACCAAGACACGAAAACAACGAAAGTGCCCCCTGATAGAGGAGAGAACACGTGGCACATATACACAATGGAACACTACTCAGCCATAAGAAAGGATGAAATACTGCTATTTGTGACAACATGGCTGGACCTTGAGAATATGATGATAAGTGAAATAAGTCAGTCGGAAAAAGCTGAGAAGCATATGACTTCACTCATATGTGGGATATAAAACAAACTCACAGACACAGACCACAGTACGGTAGCTACCAGAGGGAAGGAGCATGGGGGTAGTAAAGGGTACAGGGAGCCAAATATATGGTGATGGATGATGATATGACCAAAGTCAAATTGCATGGTGGGTACATAATGCAATATACAGGTCATGCATCACAGAAATGTACACGTGAAACCTACATAATCATATTAACCCATGTCACCTCAATAAATTTAATTATTTAAAAAGATTTCTTTTCCAAACAACTACTAACACCATAATATCAGAAAAGAAAACAAACCAAAAGTCAACATCATCATAAAAACAGAAGTAGCCCTGGCTAGCATGGCTCAGTGGATTGAGTGCCATCTTGCAAACCAAAGGGTTACCAGTTTGATTCCCAGTCAGGGCACATGCCTGGGTTGTGGGCCAAGTCCCCATCTGGGGGCACACAAGAGGCAACCACACATTGATGTTTCTCTCCCTCTTTCTCCCTCCCTTCTCCTCTCTCTATAAATACACAAAATAAAAATCTTTAAAAATATATTTAAACAAAAAATCAGAAGTAGTATCCCAGTGTGATTAACAACACAACCTCTGAAACTAGAATTCCTCAGTTCGAATTTCAGCTCCACCACTCTTTGTATGACCTTGAACAAATTAACTTCTCCATGCCTCAGTTTCCTCATGGGGATACTGTCAGGACTGAATAAGTCAATATATAGATAAAGTGCTTAGAACAGCCCCAGGCACACAGTGTTATGTCAGTGTACATAAGAATATAAGTAGATATATATATAACATCAAAAGCCAAGTTCATGAATGAATAATGAAACACTAAAACCATTGCCATGAAAGTCAGGAATGAGACAAGAATATTCAGAGTCAGCACTGCTGTTTAAATGTTTGTTCTGAAAACACTAGCCAAGTGATCAATCAAGAGAAAAACTAACTTTTATAAGTGTGGAAAAACAGAAGATGGAATTATCATTATTTGCAGGTGATAGGATGCTATTCCTGAAAAACCCAAGGGAATCAACTGAAAACCTTTTAGGAAAAAGAAAATGGGAATTTATTGGGTTTATTTCATTCATTCACCTCCTTGAAAGGAAATTTAGGAGAGAAATATAAAAATCTCAACATGGTATAAGCTGTGAAGCTAAACCTTTTGAAAACTCACCTTGGCAATTTAATTTTGGGGACTCCCATGTGCCCAAGGCAGTGCAGCTTGAAACAGTATCTTCTGGGCCACTGAAAAACCCTTCTTTGCAAGCATAATGAACCTGGCTGCCAAGCCTGGAAGTGTAATTGCCTATGATATAGGCATCTGGGACCTCGGGAGGGGTGCCACAGTCTATTTCTGAAAATAAATTAATGTCAAATTCATTACCACATGCATATGAATTTTCAAAATTCATAACCTCTCTTCCTCTCCCCCATTCCCCCTCCCTACACACATAGACCTCAGCCATATTTTAAATAGAATGGTTCATTTCCAAGTGACTTCAGGGCATATTTCCAATGGTTATCTCTATCCAATCTTCTGACTTTCCATAAGTAATAGCACCTATGCATATACAAAGCTGAAAGAGTTTGGCAATCAACACTCACTAACTTATTACTAACTAAAGAGAAGCTTAGTCCAATGAAGCGAAAACACTGCATTGCAAAATACCTTAAGCTATATATGCCTTTATAATTTTCAGGGTCACTTTTGAGATGCTGGTCCTTACCAGATCGGCTGTGTTCACCGGCTAACATAATGATGAACATCAGAGTATCTATTAACTGCTGAAAATCCCTAAAGTTTACTAATTTTAGCTTTTCAACATAGCCCCTTCTACCTCGATTGTGTTGTCCTTTGCTTATTTCACAGGTTGTATAAATGTGCAAAGGAACTAGTAATCCCCAGCACAGACCCACAAACACAGGCTCGGAGCAGGAGAAAGTCACCGTCAACAGAAACGCCCTTTCCGAGGCTGCAGTCTCTGGCAGAAACCCACCTTTGCATGACGTGGTATCTCTGGTCGGGTGGAAAGGCTCGGGCCCGCTCTCTGGCAAGTGTCCATCCAGACAGTAGCATTCAAAGCTCCCATGAGTGTTCACACACCGTCCTCCTTGCCTGCACAGGCCGGAAACCTCACACTCATCTATGTCTTGAGACCCATCCCAAACATAAGAGGGAGAGAAAAAACAGAAAAAGGAAAAAAGGTGTGTGAGGGGGATGCGACGTTATGACAGCCATTCTTCACATTCCCCGTCTACCTTTACAAATGGATGCACTTGTTTGTAATGGTATTGTGAATTTTATTTTACTCCTTAAGGGGTCTTCTCATGTATCCTTCATGAGGAAGTGCTCAGTAAGTACTTGTGACCTTGTTACGGGGATTTATAAAAACCAACGACCATCACAAACTCTCTGACACCAAATAATATGAACCCAAAAAAGTATGCTAGAAGAATTCAGTTACTATAAAATAAGGATGGCCTCCACCTCATACTAAAACCATCTAAAGAACTCCAGATACAAAATGATTTAGACAAGAGGGAAAAATGCTTTCAGAAATGAACATAGAATAGTAATCTATACTAAGTAGAACAGTAAAGGGATCACTTGGAAGGGCCTTATTAATTTTACCAAGATAACAAAGGCTTAAAACAGGCTTCAAGAAGGATGAGACACGCTTCTTGACAGACTTTTCCCCTTGACTGAGGATTATGAGAAGTAGCAGAGACAGAGGCAAGAAAAACACAGAATAATTCAGAGTCCAAAAACGAATCCTCTCAGCCAGTTAGCAGCCCTGCACCCCCACCCCAAACTGACTTAGGCAACAAAACTCAAAACCTAAGGACTCCCATGAGAGGCACCCACACCAATTTCACTTGGAGAATAAAAGTACCTTAAGTGAAGTGGGGCGCTTCCTAGGACTTGTGCAAGAACCACGGCGGGGCGGTGGACAGGGTGCAGCGAGGCTGGAGAAAGTCGGGTTGCTCCCAGACTCTGGGATTTCAAAGACCAGTGATTTTGGAAGGACTGCTACAAGGTGGCCAATATTCTATTTGGCCAGATAAAAACTTTTTCTTTCCAAAAAAACTACTAACACCATAATTTCATCAAAGAAGGAAGAAAATAATCCCAGAATCCTTTTAAATTTGTTTAATGTGATTTTACTGAAATTCACTGCTTTCTCCCTTTTCTTTGGTTTTGTCTTTTGGTTTGTTTTAGTCTCGGACCAATGAATACCTCATCACTCACTGATTGCTGCTTGGGAACTGGTAATTCACCCTGTCGCTGAAGGAGCCCACACAAGCTACCAATTCTGATCAACCTACACTTCTTTTACTGCAGCTAACTTTGGGGACCTCTTTGTGGGAGACTGTCTTCAAAGATGGCAGGCAACAACTTCCCTTCTCCCTTTCTTGCATGCCACTCCTCAGGTCAAGAACGGAATCCATCTCCACTGCCTTTGGGCTGGCCTTGGGACTTGCTTTGGCCAACAGAATGCTCTGGACCTAAATTTCAAGACACCTGGAAGCTTCTTTTTTCCCTTTCTTAGACTCCAGTGGCCACGCTGTAAGGAAATCCAGGCTACTGGGCTTGGAAGAGAGGTCCTGAGAGATGAGACCCCCTGTGAAGAGAGGCCACGTGGAGGAGAACTAAGGTGCCTGGCTGCTCGTCTGCATCGGGCCCTTGCTGTGTGAGAGAGGCCTTCCCCTACCGACCAGCCCAGCCCAGCCCCCAGTTGGATGTACCTACCCAGCCGTGGAATTGTGACAAATAATAAATTGTTTTAAGCCACAAAATTTAAGAGGGTGGGATGGGGGGAGAGTAGAGTCATGTAGTAATAGATAAGTAAGACAGTTTCTAAAAAGAGATTTTATTATTTTCCCCAGTTTCTAAAAGGGGAAGAGGGAGAAAGAGAGCGAGAGAAACGTCAGTCCATTGGTTGCCTCCTGCACACGCCCAGCCAGGGTCATGGCCCGCAACCTTGGCATCTGCCCCAACCCGGAATCGAGTCAGCGACCCTTCGGTTTTCAGGGCAGCATGCAATCCATTGAGCCACAGTGGTCAGGGCTAATTAAGACAGTTTTGACATATAAAGAGATGCAGAAGCGCAAACAAGATTAAGAGAAAACTACTGATCATTTTAAAACAGGTTTTTTTAATTAAAAACAAAATGTGAATGCCAAAAATAAAAAATCAACAGAGACACTGAATAATAGGTTGGTCAATGCTGAAAAATATGCGGATTCCAACTTTAGGAATTTCCAAAAACACATAGAAAAAGAAATTACATGAGACATAATATAGGACAAAAAAGTGATATGAGGACCAATCCAGAATACTCAATATCCATTTACTTTTTTTAGAGTATACTTTTTATACTATTCTGTATTCTTTTTTCCCATCCCCATTTCACTTGGCAAACATCAGTATTCATGTCAGAGGAACCGCAGAAGAGAATGAAGTAAATGTACAAGAATTAATATTTAAAAGAAAAACTCCTCAGCTTATGTGTTCAAATCCAAATAAATTTTACAACTGACAGGCATGACTGTTGAAAAATGAAAGTCATTCTGTACTTCATAGAATAAGGGGAAACTTTATAAACCTCCTGAGAGAAAGGAGCAGTAACCTATGAGGAAAAGAGAACTCATCTGACCTAGGATTTACTGTCCGAAACACTCAGTGCCACAGAGCTATGGAGTAATGCTTACAGGGTTCTGAGGAAAATGAAGCGAAACATCGTGCCATATTTAAACAAGGGGATGACCTTTCAGAACATGAACGATCTCAGAACTCTTACCACTGACATTTCTTCTCCGAACAAGATTTTGAGAAAACACTGAAGCCAGTGAAAAACATCAGAATAAATAATGGCAAGAGGAAGACAAAACGAAATACAATGAAGAGTGTTGAGAAATGAAACCAGTAAAACTTAGGGTTAAACAACTGTTAATAATAAAATCATGATGCTTTTGGCAATCATCAAGAAAGTGGGCTTAAAATAAAAATGATACAAAATGAATTCAATCTCAATCTAGGACAGACTTTAAGAGATGATTTGAACACTGCAGAATACATGCGTTTCTAGATTTGATTGATCCTTTTAGCTTATGAAGATTTTTTTTTTATCTCATTGAGGGATTTGTAAAATATGTATGTATAGCTTTGGCACAGCTATTTCCAGCTTGACCACCTGCTCCAGACTCCTCAAACAGTAGTGGGAACCAGCGGGCTTTCTTTTTTCAGTAGAGTTCTAAAAATGAGCAGTATGAATAACTATAGGGCAAAAACTGTGGCTAAGCAGCCGTGGTCTGGAAAACACTTGGAGTTTCTAGATATTATGTCAGCTCTGCATGGGTCACTATAGTCAGTTATCAGTTTGTTTTGTGTGCAGCCATTCAACAGCCTAATTAAAAATAACTGTTACAATGATCATTAATAACTATTTCTGCCCATCATCTTGCACATACTAGGCATGGTTCTAAACCTTCATTATTTATTACTGATTATTTCTATTTTATTTAAGCCTCAAGATAAGCTGTGAGGCAGATGCTATTATTATCCCCACTTTATAGCTGAAATAACTGCAGCGAGGAGCGGCTGCATAACTGGACCGAAGTCACGGGAGTAAGTAGTGGGAAGCCAGGACTGGAAGCTGGGGACCTGGCTCCAGAGACCATGTTCTTACCAGCTACACCACACTGTCTCTCCCATTACAATCTAAATGCATGAACATCCAATCAATAATTCCCCGTCCACAGAGATTGTCAGAGACATCATCAATCGCCTTAATGAAGCCTAGATATATCTGCTGTGTATCACTGAAGTAAGAGTATGACACGATTTTGACTTTTAATCCCCTGCTACCTCTTACACTCACAAACCATCCCTTTTCTAACCCATTCTAGAATCTTGGCTGGATAAACCTGTTAAGCTTATTGGAACAACTTCTCCACGGGGTCTCCATGAAATTCCATGGGGTCTCCAAGGTTACACACGTTTGTGAAGAAAAAATGTCCTAAGCAACCTTATTAACATACTTAACTAATCAAGGGGGGAAATTCCCTGTGTCCTATTCTATATATTGGATTATTCAACTTTATCCGCAGCCAGGACAATTTCTTGCTAGCACGTAGCTAAACCGAGCAGGACACTCTGACCTGGTGCCAGGGCCTTGGTGTTCTATATTTAGCCCTTTCAACTGAAGCATGGGTTTGAAAGTCAGAAAGAGCCAGGTCTGGGAACTGATTCTGCTGTTTACTAGGTATACTCATGCCTGTTCCTTAACCTTTCTAAACGACTTCTGCAAAATGAAGCTAAATATAGGAGGGGTTTTTTTGTGAGGGTGAAATAAAACATATGGAAAGCACTTAGCACAGTGCCTGGCAGATGGCAGGTCCTGGAGACATGTCAGCTAATACATGAATGAGTCTCTCTCTCCTGACTCATACCTCCCTGGAGCACAAGCCACTCCTTCATACCTGAGCCTAAGCATGACCTTGAGCAATGCTACCAGTGCTTGGGGAGTGGCCACCTGGCTTGTTCCACTGGACTTGAATGTTCCAAGACAGACACAGAAAGTCCATCTGGGGGACCCTTAGCTGGAAAAAAAGGGCCAAGGAGGCAAAAGTTTAAAAAGAAGCTAGCCTTAGACTTAGAGTAGACTCAATGAGAAAAATGCATTCAAGAACTTTCAATGAAAATGCTCATGAAAATGCTCTCAAAGCCAACTTCCCTCTATATTGCTACATAAGTACCATATCCTCCCAACTCCAGCAAGTAAGATGAGAAAAAAATTATTCCCGCACAACTTGGAGAGTAACTTCTTTTTTCCCGCCACCTTCCTTCCTCAAATACCAAATTTAGCTAAGAAGCCACAGTAGAGGAAAATATACACCCCCACCCCTGAAAATCAGGATTGTTCAACTCACATCATTTATAAATATTATCCAGTGTTGGCAAAGATGCAAAGACTTGAACACCTTCATGAAATCAGTAGTCAGGGAGAATATTGCTATGAACTTTCTGGAAAACAGTCTGGCACTATGCATCAAAATATGTACCTTTGATACAGAAACCATTTTTCGAAGTGTGTAAAAGGAGATCATTATTTGTAAGGCTCTAAGTACAAGATGTACCTTACAGAATTCCTTATAATAGCGAAAAACACAAACAAAAAAAGAAACAAAAAAACAGAGAAACAATCACAACAGGGAGGGAAATCAGTTAAGTAGCATAGTACAGCCATATAACAAAGTCTGTATAATTTAAAAGGTATTATATATCTATCTCTACTATTTTTAATGACAGTTATAATATACATTCAATAAAATGTACTGATCTTAAGTGTTTGGGTCATGAATTTTGAATCAGAAGATGCTGTACCAAAGCTCTGCCCCCAAAATGTCAGATGCCTTGACTAAGGCACCATTGTCCCTTTAGGGAGTGAGGGGGGCACCCCTGAGTTTCCCCTGCAGGTTAGCAACCCTCACACTTTACTCTTGCTTCTTACTTGCTCAAGCCCCAGGATATAGATATGGCAAGTTCTTTCTCAAGGCCTTATGTCCACGGCAGTCTCATTTCTCTCCACCTACTCCTGGCCCACTCGAGTCAAAGCGTTGTCACACTGGAAGTGCCCCAGAGCTGCTTTCTCTGCATTGTGGCCCATGGTGACACTTCCATGGTCCCCAGGAACATCCCCAGGAGCCCTGGGGCCACAGCATCTGCAGGTTCTCCAGAACAGGAAGCCCTACCCCGGAACCCCTGCACTCATTCCTCACCTATCCTTGGTGACATCCAAAGAGGCCTATCTGCAACCAGCTCCTGAACTTGACTTGAACTCTGCAAAGTATGAGGAACATCTGGTCGCAGGATTCCTTGTAATTCAAGAACTCTGATTTGCATCCTTTGATTCCAGGCAAACACTAGCTAACTGCTGATACCCCAAAACTTGCTAAGCTTCTGCCCCAGCTAAAGTCCACTGACGTTTCTGTGGCAACTGTGATTTTGAAAAAGACAAAAACAAAAACAAAAACTCAGTATCATCAAGAAGAGTAATCCACTGGCTTTCACAAAGCGATGACTGGAGACCTCAGGAGGAAAGGTCATGTGAATGGATGGCTGCCAATGGGCATGGGGCTTCTTTACGGGCAAACGGAGATGTTATAAAATTTGATAGTGGTGATTGTTGCTCAACTTTGTGACTATACTAAAAACTACTGAACTGTGTATTTCAAAAGGCTAAATTTTATGGCATGTAAATTCTATCTCAGTTTTTTTTAAAGCAAAAGTCACTAGTTACAAGAAGCAGAATAAATAGAAGCAACGCCCAGATCAGGATTTTACTCCAGGAAGATTCGTTCTTACTAGGCTGACAACCCTTGCATAACTTTTTTTCTTCTTTCTATCTTTTTAAAAGTAGAATGCATCCTTGAAAACTATAGTGACATAGTTATAACATGTGTTTCCTGGAAAACTCCCACAGCCTTGAAAACACAATTTCAGGTATCACGTCCTCCAGAAAGTTCCTCGATCCCTTTCCCACTGCCACGGTTAAGCACCCCTATGGATTCTGGATTCCAGGAAGCCCCTTTGCTTCCCTGCCACTAACACTTCATTCTGAAATTAGCTGTCTGCATCACCTCCCTCTAGCATAGAAGAGCATGAGACCTATACATTGAATGAACTGAACATCAGATCATCTTCTTGGAAGGTTGTGTTTTTTTTAATGATATCTTTAAAAAAAACCCCACAAAAACCCACCTAATTTAATCCTGCAACCCTGTACTTCTGCAATCATATGGCAAGTAATTTGCTGCCTAAAACAACAGGATATTATAATATGTCTTCCTGGAAGGAATGTGCTCATTTGTATCAAGAATAAATCAAGTGGACCCTTGAAGGGGTCTTAACCTTGGTACAGGTTCAAGAGGGAGAAGGAATCAGAGCATCAGAACCTGTGGTTCTTGGTGAGTAAGAAGATAGACCATGTTCTCCTCTCCTTTTCTTTTCCCTGAAAACCTTTAAATATAGCAAAGCTTTTAAGCAGAGTCATTAAGTCTGTACAAACCCATCTTAGAACCAGCAGTCTCTTCCTGCCTTTCCTCTTCATTATAGTTCAAAGATTTTCTAAGAAAACCAAAGAGCTATATTACCATGACAAGCTGTAAGTAGACTTCGGATAGTAGAGGGGCCACTGAAAATTAGGAGGGTTTTGCCCACCCTTTGTATTTGACCAACATATGCCCAGAAATCTGACCATCTAAGCTGCTGTGGCATGAAAAGTTACACTCCTCACTCCGTTTATTCCTGGGGGAGGTGAGCCCACATCTCTGATAGGAGCAGCTCTCGGACCTCCTGGAGGCCATGTCATGGTGCCCACCCCCTGGGACCTTAGTGGGCAATACGCACAGAGCTGGCGAGTGCCAGTCACCCCCAAAACAAACACCGCCCCCCGGGGTTACAGGAACCTGCAGATGGCACAGCATCTCTGAGAGTCCCTCCTTGCTCCTTGTTATAAAAATGATCAAACACACAGGACAAGAAAAAGAATATTACAGTGAATTCCCATAGACCCGCACCCCCAAGATTCAACAATTGCTCACATTTTGCCATTTCAAGTACCTTACAGATATAGTAACACTAGATACTTTCATAATAACAACACTCAGTACTTAAAATAAGAATATTATCCTAAATACCTCAGGATTGTTATTCCATCTAACAAAATTAACCATAATTCTCTAATATTAACTAGTACTCAGGCCATAGCCCCATCTCCCTCATAGATGTCCTTCCCCGAGCATCCTTCCCTGACACCGCACCCTGCCCTAGACTGGCCCTGTCCCTCCTCGCGCCCCCAGACACTGCCCTGCCATCGCCAAGTTGCCATCACACAGCCCCCTTGGGCAATACCTGTGCAAAAGGTGCCGTCGTTGGGAATGAATGTCTTGTTGTTGTTTGTGGCTCGATATCCTTCTAGGCAAATGCAATAAAAGCCGCCGAGCGTGTTGTGGCAAGACGTGTGGTTCCCACAGACCACAGTGGCCCCAAGCTGGCACTCGTTTTTATCTGTTGATACATGGAGACAGCACCCAGGAAAGGCTATCAATCCGTACATGGTCAACCCCCGCCGTTCTCCTGTGCTATGGAATCAACACTCTGTGACCCATTTCCCCAGCCTCTTTTCCTGTCACTACGCTCCTCTGACTACAGGACACAGGCCCCTCGCAGTTATGTGTCTGGTGGGTATGACACCGTGAGAGAAATCCGACATCTCCTTCTGGAAATCCATCTTAGTTGAAGGTCGGGAGCAGTGGGTTCTTTCTGAACTTCTCCACATTTGGAAAGAGCATATCATAGGCCTGGGGAATCACACCCAGCAGAGTCCCACGCTTCCAGTTCAGCCATTCTTCTTGCTTTTTTTTCCATGAAAGCCAGGGGAGGACGATTTTACACATAGTGATTAACCGGAAAAATTGTTACTTCTGGGTTACCAGGAAACACAATGGCATTAGCGCTTAAGCCTCATCCGGGAACAGGGCTAATACGGTGGCAGGAGCGGCTCCTCAATGATCCGTGTGAATAATATTAGTCACCCAGTGAGGCGGAACTGGAATATGGCATGCTTGGTGAGTCCACAGGAGCCTGAGGATTTTTAATTCAATGATTTGACATAGACGCAAAATGAAAGGAAATCTCCCTCCTGCCTCTGTCCGCTGGCCCAGGAGCCAGCAAACTTCTGCTGTAAAGAGCCAGCCTTAGGACTCTGGTTACCACTGCTCAGCCGTGCTTTTGGAGACCAAAACAGCCATAGACAGTAAGTTAAAAAAAGAGCAATGCAGTGTTCAAATAAAATTCTATTTACAAAAACAGGCAGTGTCCAAATTCTTCCCTAGCCTCTACCACCAGAGGAAATTCCTGTGATCAATTTCTTATGGATCTTTCCAGAGCTGATCTATCCAGCCAGTGGTTTGAAGTGTTTTTGGTCTTTGAAGAGGCGCGGTTGGAACTATTAACTTATGAACCTCAGTGTTTCTGTTTGTTTGTTATTTAGTGATTTGTTACAGCATTGGTTCCCTTGAAGCGGTTCCATTGCTTCTCACAATAGCACTCAATTCCCACTAACTGGAAAGTATTCCCCCAGGCCCCGGCTGGTGGCTCAGTGTGTTGGATCATTGTCCCGTACACTGTAAGGTTGTGGGTTCAATCCCTGGTTGGGGTGTGTATGGGAGGCAACCGATCAATGTATATTGATGTCCCTCTCTCTCCTCTCCTTTCTTCTTTTTCTAAAAAATAATAGACATCCTCGAAAATCAAAGTACCCAAAAAATCTGGTGTTGGTTTTTTCTTTCATTTTTCCTGTATTATCTGTTAAAATTTAATGGAACTTGGAACGCAATTCATCATTGAAACTGTCTGTGGTAAGAGCTGCCTGAGCATTTACAGAGGCAGAGGACCGTCAGGCCCGAGCCAGGCCAAGCATCCAGCCCAGCTGACTGAGCACTGCATGGGGGTTTCAAATACAAGTCTGGCTGCCCATAAAATGGGTCACTCCTGTCCTTCGCCATTTCTGTCATTGTCTCTGAGGCATGTCTTTCTCCCTCCCCTCTGCGGACTTCACCAGAAGGGACATTTGGGCTTGGAAGAAATCCTTGTATTTTTAGGTCCCTCGGCATAATACCATGTCACAGCACCTCTGGCCCAGGTGTAACCTCCCCGGTAACCTGTGGTGTGGCATCAGCAGACCAAGTACTGGCAAATGCAGTGTCTAGTATTTGGGAGCAAGTAGCACATAAATTCATAAAGCTCCCTCCTTCCATTGGGAAAAGTCTGTATTGTTCAGAAGTCAGAAAGCAATCAAGGGGGCAGGGAGTTTTCCTGGGAGGAGGACCTCATTTGGGGAGGGAGCAGAAAAGGATTATCCATGGTCCTCAATTCCAACAGCATTGTCAAGCCCCTGTCAGCAATCCGTGGGGGGAGAGGGTGACAGAAATTCCCTCCAGCGCCTTTGACTGCTGGGCAGCCGCAGTTCTCATGGGCAGAATCCCAGAGAGAGAGAGAGAGAGGCAAAGAAGGCACAACTGCAGCCTGCAGGAACTGGCGATGGTGTGTGGTTGTGAAAGCTTGTATCTGTGAAGTAGAATATGGCTTTTGGAACTCAAAACTGAGTTGTAGTTGTTTTCAAGGAAGGAAAAAAAAAAAAGATATCACAACTTCCCTGGCTGGGTGGCTCAGTGTGTTGGAGCGTCGCCCCGTATACCAAAAGGAGCATATGATCGATGCGTCTCTCTCACATCAATGTTTCTCTCTCTGTGTCTCTTCTTTTTTTTCCCCTCTTTCTCTTCTCCTCTTTCTCTCTCAAATCAATAAACATATATCCTCTGGTGAGGATTAAAAAAAAAAAAGATATCACAACAAAGTTGTATACACTGTTAGTCCACAACCTCAAGGGAAAGTTATCGATATTTTTATTGCATGCGGCAAGGCTGCTGGGAGGAAATGGTTATTATAGTAACATTCATTACTACAAAGATGCTGTGAAACTCTTCCCTCTCTCTGAATTGGGCTTGAACCTGGATATTGTCTGACTCTCATGGCATGGTAGACACCATGAAGCAAAAAATGATCTCAGATGCTTCCAGCCTACAGGTCTTTATATTAAGTCACGCAAGACCCCAAAGGGCCATAACCACAAAGTATTTGGAGGATAGATCGTGGTAGACATAACACTCAAAGCAACAGTATTTTATCCATTAGCCAAAAAGTCTAACAGGCAATTGTGCTTTGTTTTTACTCATAATACTAATATAAGTAGTTTTACATCCAAACAACTGGAGAAATTAAGAAACTCAATATTGATTTGAGTTGCTCAGTTCAACTCAAGACTTGAAACAGATTTCAAATATGTGTTAGGCCAGAGAACCCTCAGAGAGTCAAGTTCAATGACCTCTTACATGAGGGATACTTCCTTGAAAACGCTAGAGACAGGATATATCCAAACACTGAAACAAAGACTTATTATAATTGACAAAACTTCTTGTAATAAAAACAGTGAAAAAAATAACAATGTTTTCTCCCCAGCGACATCAGCTCTTTAACACTAGAGAATTTTGTTTCTTAGTTCGTTCAACTTTTTAACTTGGTGCAGGATTCAGAACTTACCAATACACTGAGTCCTCCCGTTGCCCACAAATCCATACTTGCAAATACACATCTTCTTCCCTTCTTGTTGCTTGCAGGTGGCATGTTCATGGCAAGTGGCACAGATGTCTAAACCCGAATCATAAATTGTATATATTGGGAAAAGAAAATGATATGGTCACAAATCATATTTTGGGTAGTAAACATGTATAATGGAGAACCAAAATTTAAATACCAACATTAAAAAGGATTTGATCCCATCCTTAAAAATCTACAGTGACTGCTCATTGCCAACACAGTCAAGTGCAAATTCCCCTACCTGGCAATCGAGGCTCTTAACAGTCTGACTCTAGGCTAGCTCCTCCAGCTTCATTGTTCCCAAGCCCGAACCATACACGATATTCTCTGGTCAGGAGGCCGCCTCGTCTTTCCCATACATGCTGTCCACTCATACTCCATGCCATAGTCACAATGTTTCCTTCCATTATAGTGCCTATCCCTCCCATTCTGATCAGCTAGCACCTATTCCTACTTCAAGACCCAATTTAAGCATCATCGTCTCCCTGACACCTTCCCCATTTGCCCATTCTTGAAGGAAATTGAGTGTATCTTCCTCTGTGCTCCTCTAACACCTGCATATCTCCCACGTTACTTTGTCATTATATTCTATTACAGCTGTGTCTTCTGTACTTGGTATTATGAAAGAGCTTCTCAAGGACAGGGACTATGTCACTTGCCCATATGTCATTATTAATACAGTGTAAACACTCAATCTATTGTTATTGACCAACTGGATAAAGGAACCTGTGATCCTACTTGCTACAACTCAAAAAGCAAATGAAGGGAGGAAAACTTCTCTACTACCCTATCCATTTTCTTTGCAGGGAAAAAGCGAATGTGTTTACAATGTCAATGAGAGAACAGCCGGGTCCCAGCAGGGTGACCAGATCCCAGTTACTTAGATAAGCAGCAAAAATGTTTGGGGCTAAAAATCCTGAAACACCCAAATTACCAGATGGTGATATCTGGCCCGAGATCAAACAAGAATTTCTACCAGAGGCTAGTGAGAGATCGTGTTGCACTCTCTGCGTCTGTAATTTCAGGAGTGACCAGCAAGGAGAACCTTTCCGCATGGAATTTCATCTCAGCCTTGGCCCCGTTACTGCCCTGGTAATAAAGACTTAGGCCTCGGGCTGCTCCAGGCATGGGGCCAACTGAGACAGGGAGACTTCTAAGTACTTGTAACCACGCTTGCTTTATTTTTTTTTTAAACAAAAGGTTACACAGAAATGAGACAAACCACTACTTCTTACTAATAACAAATTAGCCATAGAATATTTTTCAAATTTTGTATACATAGACCATGAAGAAAAATACAAATTTTTCAAAAGCAGAAATTGTGTGAGTCATACTATCTGATATCTGACTACTGCTACTAATGTAATAAAACTATAAAGTAAAACAGAAGACTAGTGTCCCCAAAAGAAAACCAACTTGAAACTATAGAACACTTTCCCAAATAAGTCTTGGGACAAAGAGAATATCAAAATTGAAATGTTTACTACCAGATATAAAACCTTACCTGCTCCAGAAACTTTGTGTTTTACGTGTCTTTATGCTTTAAAAGAGAGAAAGAAGAGCAAGCAGCCGGGGCGGGGTGGGCGGGGGGGTACCTAGAATTTTACTGCAGGAAGCTTAGAAAAAGATGAAAAAATAAAATAGAGGTTTATTGGGGGTTAGGAATTAGTAAAAGTAAAAAAATGTTAAAAATTAGAAAATATATTCAAATTCATTTAAAAAATTTTCCCCAAAGTCAGTACATCATGAAGACCGGTAAAGTGGTCAACACTCAAGTAAGAGGGTGGAAAAAAAAAGAGCATGTACAATCTTCGGAATAAGAAGGAGCTTATAACAAAAAATACATAAAACATTTTTTCAAATTACAAATGAAAGACTTTCATTTTCATAAATGAAAGTTAAATACCACGGAGTGAATATACTCTGAACCCTACCCCACCCCCCGCAAAACATCAAGGACTAGGAAGGTATAAATGCCAGGAGGGGATGTGATAGCAGACGAAGGACGTCAACGATCTTTCAGGAGACGGGAGAAGTGGACCTGTGGGAACCACCTGAGAAAGAGGAAGAACGAAAAACCAACCCCGAAAAACTCAGGAATTGGGGTCACTGAGGAACTCAGAAGGCAAGCATAGGGGGATAGCGCTGAAAGTTCCAGGAACTGCTTGAAAGCACGTCTAAGGAGTAGTTAGATGCCCAGACCCCTCACTAACCCTGGCATCAGATGGACTTCTACCACACGGGGAGAATGGACCAGAAAAGCCCCTGAGAATAGGAGCAACAGACAAAGCTGAAGTGAGAGTGAGCCCCTTATCTAAAGGTTCATCAATACGGGTGATATATATGCAATGGTTTTGACATTTTAACACATATTTTAAAACAGTTCCATAGGGACACTGTCAGTTCATCATCACATGCAACCAAAATTGTGGGAGTAATTTTAAAATAACGGATCTCGGGTCAAATCCACAAACCCAGCTGCGATCAACCATAAAATGACGAGCACTTTCCCAGTGTGCGTGTACGGCACAATAATAGAAACACCATCTAATAAAATCAACCAAAAAATGGTAAAATGTTTGATTTTTTTCCTTATATAGAATGCTTGTCTTTATAAAGATATCAGCCTTTATATACATTCAGTTCCAGGAACTTATTATCATGTGGAAAATGATTGCTTCATATAACTGCTAAGTGAATCTAATACACACACACACACACACACACACACACACACACACAAGAAATTAAGAAGCAAAGTAGTACCACCTACTCAGATAAATTAAAGGCGGTCCCATCTGAATTAGTGAAGGACAGAATCTGAAGTATTTTTAAATAGATTTAATTAAGTTCAACTTCATTCAATAGATTGAACCAGACAAATGAAATATGGCCCCGTAGGAAGGCAGCCGGGTACAGAGGAAAGCACTGGACTTGAGAGCTGGGACTGGACCCCAGATCCAGCTGAGTCCCCTTCACGTGTGACCTTTTGCAAATCACTTAATCTCGCTGGGTCTCAGGTTTTTTTTTTTTACCATCTGTAGAACAAGGGCTTTGGGCTTCTCAGATTTTAAAAATACATTCAAATTACCTGAGGATCTTGTTTAACTGCAGGCTCTGATTCAGTTGGTCTGGGGTGGGGCCCTATATACTCGCATTACATTTATGCCAAGCTCCCAGGTGGAACACATTTGAGTAGAAGGGTTCAGTGGCCCCTGAAGTCCTTTCCCGCTAATGTTCTGACACTTCATCCTTAGGGTACCTGTTTTAATGACCCATTAAGAATAATTTAATGTTAAGCGTAACCCCAAGGACAGTACATGGTATGCTTGGCTCAATAAATGTCTGGTCCTCAGACTGGCAAGCGCGATGTATGCCAGGCTTCCAAAGACTTCTCAAACCACCTGCAGAAGGGAAAGTGGTTTCCAGAAGAAGAAAAGCCTCAGCCGGAGCTTCTCATTCGGGCATAAAGAGCGAGGTCTGCAGGGCCTTGTGGGCAGGTGTTAAGAGTATTAAATGCTTGAGGGACCAAGTAGCCTCTTAGGGAAAAAAATCTTGTCCTAAAGAAAAGGCCAGGGGAGCACAATCCCAATCCAAAAACAGACAACTGGGGGAGGCAGGGCGGGGCGCTGGCTGCTGCTGACCACACACAGTGTCCGTTGTTCCACAGCCCGAAGCTCGATTAAGAATCACATGGAGATAGGGTGACCAATCCATGTCGGTTTTAATACTGAAAGTCCTGTGTCCCGGGAAACCCCTCATTTCGGTGCAAATCAAGACAGTGGGTCACCCTCCCCGCAGAGCTTGTTAAAGCAGAGCCAGTCCATGGAGATTCTGATTCAGTAGCGGTGGGGCAGGGCCTGGGAATCTGCATCTACAACAAGCTCCCAAGTAGACTCAGCCAGGGCTACCCCCTCGATTCACTTCCCTTCGCCACTCTGTGGGGACTAAGCCAGCTTCAGCCACATTCAGCAAAGCGAGGATGAGACCTAGGTTGGCATCTTCTCTCTTGCTCCCTGGCTCTGTGATCCTAAACTGTCAGTCCTTCAGCTTAGTCTGAGATGGAGATCGTGTTGCAAGGATTAAATGGGAATTATAATGCTGTATGAGCTCTGAGGCACTTGACTGAGATCATTTACATGAATATTTATCTCTCTCCCTGTGGATACTGCTATTATTGTTAGAAACAAGTCACACAAGATGCAGTATCTGGTACTGGTCAGGGTGGCTAAGAGAGAGATGACTTGGGCCGCAGTCCTAGCCCTGCCACTTGCCGGCTGCGTGACCCCAGGTAACCCGCGTGCCTCTGTTTCCTATAAATCTGTCACATGAGGATAACGACAGACCAACTTCGTATGGTTGTTGTGAGAATTAGAGAAAATGAGTTACTATACATAAAGCAAATAGAATATGTTAGACATTATTATAACAACTACTCAGCAGCTCTTTGTTAATGAATAAATGGCAGCTAGCCAATTACACGGATGAAGAGAGTGATAAAAACTGCACTGATGCAAATCCCCCCAAAAGCAATGTTTTTGTGTGGTCAGATGCCTACCTGTTCATGGGGCTGATAGTCTAGGAACCATATTATCTTATTTTATATAATCGCTCCCTGCCTTCCCACATCACATCCTGACTCCGAGGTTGGCAGTTCAGCTTCCTGAGGTTCTCAGTGCTGCCCAGCCCTCCCTCCGCTCCACCGCTCACTAAGTAATCCTGCGCCTCGGGTGGATGGCAGCCGCCAGCCTGAGCAAGGCCCCTCGCTCCCGATTTTGATACCAAGCAACAACTTAAAGTCACTTCTGAAATAACAGCAGGTGGACTTTGACAGTACAATGAAGGGATTTTGTCCACTGCCAAGGGAAGAAGGTAGCTCAAAGGCACAAATGGAGCAGTAGTGTTTGAATCTTAACCTAATCCCCAGCCACATACAGTTAGACCAACAAATTCACAGCGCAACCCTCGTGAAATCCTGGATCTCAAACTTATGGAGACATGTGGAAACGTGAAAAGACCTGAGGAAATAAGCAAAGGGGGCACGGAACTCA